GAAAACATGATCCAGACTTTATTTTGGGGGTGGGCAGTTACCAGATAATTTGATTTGCCTACGTTGATCAAATGGACTATGCTCACATTTTTTCAGAAAATTGTGAGAGGACATGTTTAGCAGGGATCTGCCACGGGAGCTGCTGTGGGATCCGTGGCAGTCGTGGGCCTGGCCGTGGTGCTGCAGCTGTCCCGGGAGCAGGGTGTCACCTGCACGGGAGCGCCAAAATCGTGGCCCAGTTCTTCTCATTTGGCATCAACAGCATTTTACATCGGTGTGGAACTTTAGTGCAAAAATATGGACTCACCTTGCTCGTCATGACTGATCACAAGCTCACAAAATACCTAATGACGTGGTGGAACAATTAAAGATTGGTCATCCAGGTGTTCGGTTCAGAACCTGGTGGCAGTCATCTCAAATATTAAAAGTGGTGAGGACCTGGAAAGACATCAATTTGATACTGTGACAAGACTGCACCCCCCCCCCCTGCACCAGGGAAAGCCTCAGAAGAGGCCTTCCTGTCTAGGAAGAAACCTGTTCAGTGACAGACCACAGCGATGGCGACGCTTCTGCCATGTTGGAAGTTTCCTGTTCATCTGATCTGCTAATTTACCCAGATAAAGCATTGGGGGCACCTGGAAGATGAGCAGAGTCGGAACCACAGCTCAGACCCATTCTGAGCAAGTCTGTCTTCATGCATTTGCCACGACAGTCACCAAGCCAACAGCGTGGCACCTGCAAATCCCTGTCAATGAGGAAGATAATGGATCATAGTTCTCAAAGACAGTTTTCCTGAAACCAAGTCAACTTAGTTGATATGTTTTATTTCACTGGTTAATATTTAGATGAAGAAAACCAACATTATACTTTACTGAACTGTGTGTAATTGTTCCATTTTTTTGGGTACCTGTTTGACTTATCATAGGTTGACGTAACGAATTTACTGCACATTTTCCAAAAGGAATCAGCAGATTTCATCAGCATTGTACTCCCACTTTCCTTGAAGGAGGTAACTGTAGATGGAAAAACTTGGGCTATAAAGCGAAATGCTTTCTTAAATCAGACATTTTGACTAAGTAACTTGACTCAGAGTGTAGGTAGGGAGATATTGAAACATAAAATACAGCAAAAGAAATCTGAATATTCAAAATCTTTGTTTAGATCCTGAAAGTAACTAATAATAATCCATAAGTAATGAAATACTGCTGTACTATGTTCTTTTGCCATTTATTTTATTTTATAGTTCCATATTGAATACATTTCCAATTATTTGATTTTTTTTTTCTTAAAAGATGAGCGGTAAGGGGGTCTTAACCCTTGACTTGGTGTTGTCAGCACCACACTCTCCTGAGTGAGCCACGGCCCGGCCCCTCAATTACTTGATTTTAATTTACATAACTTGAACCTATGCAGATAGGGATATTTCTACTGTTTAATTCCCTGTGATAGAGAACTCTTAAAAATGATTTTTGTGTTTTATAAAATCAAGCTTTACAATGCTGAGCAAAAAAAATAAAGCTGGAGGCATAACACTACCTGACTTTAAACTATACTACAAAGCTATAATAACCAAAACAGTATGGTACTGGCATAAAAACAGACACACTGATCAATGGAATAGAATAGAGAATCCAGAAATCAACCCACACACCTACAGCCATCTGATCTTTGACAAAGGCACCAAGCCTATACACTGGGGAAGAGACTGCCTCTTCAGCAGACCCACATCTCTCACCATTTACTAAAATCAACTCAAAATGGATTAAGGATTTAAATATACACCCTGAAACAATAAAACTTATTAAAGAAAATATAGGAGAAACCCTTCAGCAAATAGGGCTGGGCACAGACTTCATGAATATGACCCCAAAAGCATGGGCAACCAAAGGAAAAATAAACAAATGGGACTATATCAAACTGAAAAGTTTCTGCACAGCAAAAGAAACAATTAACAGAGCTAAAAGACAGCCAACAGAGTGGGAGAAAATATTTGCAAAATACATATCTGACAAAGGACTAATATCCAGAATATATAAGGAACTCAAACAACTTTACAAGGAAAAAACAAGCAACCCAATTAAAAAATGGGCAAAAGAGCTAAGTAAGCATTTCTCTAAAGAAGATATGCAAATGGCCAACAGTCATATGAAAAAATGCTCAACATCACTCAGCATCCGGGAAATGCAAATCAAAACCACACTGAGATACCATCTCACCCCAGTTAGGATGGCTAAAATCCAAAAGACGCTGAAAGATAAATGCTGGCATGGTTGCGGAGAAAAAGGAACTCTCTTACATTGTTGGTGGGAATGCATAATGGTGCAACCCCTATGGAAAATGGTTTGGAGGTTCCTTAAACAGCTGAAGATAGATCTACCATACGACGCAGCTATCCCACTGCTGGGAATATATCCAAAGGAATGGAAATCATCAAGTCGAAGGTATACCTGTTTCCCAATGTTCATTGCAGCACTCTTCACAATAGCCAAGAGCTGGAATCAGCCCAAATGTCCATCATTGGATGAGTGGATACGGAAAATGTGGTTTATCTACACAATGGAATACTACTCAGCTATAAAAATGAATGAAATACTGCCATTTGCAACAACATAGATGGACCTTGAGAGAATACTATTAAGTCAAACGAGTCAGGCAGAGAAAAAGAAATACCACATGTTCTCACTTATTGGTGGGAGCTAAAAATAAATTAATTAATTCACTCACATACACACACACAAAAAAACTGGGGGGTTGGGGAAGAAGATATAACAACTACAATTTTTTGAAGTTGTTACAACAAGCAAACGGAAAGGACATTCTTGGGTGGGAGGGGGAAGAGGGAGGAGGGAGGGAGGTTTCGGTGATGGGCCGTAATAATCAACCACATTGTATATTGACAAAATAAAAATTTAAAGGAAAAAAAAAAGAAATAAATGCCTTGCAAAAATGAAAAAATAAAAATAAAAAAATAAAATAAAGCTTTAAATTAAAATGAGGAAATAAAGTTAAATTTGTATGTTTAAAAAAAAAGTTGTGAGACACAGTGTGCAGTTGGCTTCCTCTACAGGCCACGCAGAAGCAGAAGTGTCCCTGAGTAGGCTGCGATGCCCGTGTGCATCGGTCACATGTGAGGGCCGACCTCGCTGAGCTGCGGCAGAAGAAGGGCCCCATCACCTCGGAGCCACACGTTTGCCTTTTGCTAGTGACCATGTGCTCTTATTTCCTAACAGAGACATCATCACTCTGGTGGCTCAGGTGGTTCCCATCTATGCTGTATCCCACCTCTTCGAAAGTCTTGCTGTACGTATTATGCACTATTCCCTTAAGCACTTTTATGATGTATTTCTTCTGGTGATGGTAAATTTCCACTGAGAAGAGGGGCTAGGGTAGGTGGTAATACTGAGTATTGAAATCGTATTCAGTTTAAAAGAGTACTGTCACATGGCATGGGTTTTTAGGTCAGAGGCCTGTGAATGGCACGTGCTCAGGGGATGGGAGTCCTTTGGAAGCACTGGTGTGGTTCTCACTGACCAGAACGTGGTCTGCCCACAGTGCACGAGCAGTGGCAGTCTGAGGGGAACTGGGAACCAGAAAGTTGGAGCCATCGTTAATGCCATCGGGTATTATGTGGTCAGTCTCCCCATCGGGATCGCGCTGATGTTTGCTACCGAGCTCGGAGTGATTGGTAAGCCTTAACCTTCCCAGGGCCCAGGACAAGCACGTGGACTTTGGAACTCGAGCTTTCCCACATTCATTCTGTGCCTTGTCAGAGGGAGCAGGGAGGGGAGAGGACGTTGTCTACAGCTCTGGCCAGGGGCCCCAGGCCCTGTGGTCACGCTGCTCGCTATGCCCTGTGGGCGATCTTCCACAGTGACACACTTGAGCACGACAAGATGCCCCTTCTATTCATGTCCCAGCACTGAGTCATCACTTCTTCAAAGGAGGTGACAGCAGGGACCACCAAAGAAGCATTTGGAAACATCCCTTTTGTGGACCTGTTCTTTTAGTGACAGCTCTGGTGCAGGGAGACCTTAAGAGTGAGTCTGCAGGGCTGACGCCGTCCAGCACCCCGTCCTGCACCTGGCATCCTGGACTGTTTGGGGGAAGGCAGGGAAGGCGTGGCTGGGGCTCCTGGCGGTGGATCCACCCTAGCACAAGGCCCTCTGTGGCCTCAGGGAGGGCAACACGCCCCACCTCCCCCCTGGTGCAGATAAGGACACACAAGTGATGGACAGTACACAAGGAAGGTGGGTGGGTGGGGCTTCATTATCACTTACTACACTAGCAGGAAAGAACTTAATTCACAGGATCTAACATTACCAGAGCGAATCATTTTTAAAAGTAGGGAAATAAATGACTGCCCAGTTTCAATTTCTAAAATAATGATTTGGACTACATTGGCAGTTAACGCATGATTATACTGAAACTTGAATGTTATCTCTGGGGTGAAGCAGTGACTGATTTAATTCGTTTTAGCCCATCAGTACTTTGGTGGCTCAGAGGTGGCCAGTGCTCATCAGATACCTACAGGGAACTTCTGGTCCAGTATGTACCATTAAGTTGTACATTTTTCTCAAGTTTAATAATGTTTAATTAAATTAATTTTTTTTGGCAGCTGGCTGGTAAGGGGATCAGAGCCCTCGACCTTGCCATTATAACACAGTGCTGTGACCAGCTGAACTAACCCACCAGCCCTCAAGTTTAATAATATTTTAATTAAAAATACAGGAGATGTTCAAATAATGGAATTGCGAAAGTTCATTGGGTTTGCATCACAGTGCAGAAAATTATTTAGCTGAATTTCTGGCATTATTCATATTTCAGATTTGCCAAGAACATAGCTAATAGAAATATTAGAGGAGTCTGTTTTTTTTGAGTAAATGATATATTATGAGTAAAATGATATATTTTTTGAGTAAAATGATATATTATACAATATATCCAAAATGTTATTATTGCAACATGCAATCAATATAAAATATTAAGAAGATACTTTACATTCCCTTTTTTATATTATATTTTTTTATTTATGTGTATTATATTTTTATTAATACTGCTTTTAATTGACAAATCATAATTTTATACATTTATGGAGTACAATGTGATGTTTTGATATATGTATTCCATGAGGGATGATTAGATCAAGCTAATTAACATGTTCCTCACCTCAATTACTTATTTTTTTATGGTGAGACAGTTGAAATTCACTTGACTCGTGATATTTTCAATTTACACTGGGGTTATTGGGACTTAATCCCATTGTAGGTCGAGTAGTACCTGCATACGATACATTATTNGGCAGTTACCAGATAATTTGATTTGCCTATGTTGATCAAATGGACTATGCTCACATTTTTTCAAAAATTGTGAGAGGACACGTTTAGCAGGGAGCTGCCACGGGAGCTGCCGTGGGAGCCGTGGCAGTCATGAGCCTGGCCGTGGCGCTGCAGCTGTCCCGGGAGCAGGGTGTCACCTGCACGGGAGCGCCAAAATCGTGGCCCAGTTCTTCTCATTTGGCATCAACAACATTTTACATCAGCATGAAACTTTAGTGCAAAAATATGGACTCACCTTGCTGGTCATGACTGATCACAAGCTCACAAAATACCTAATGATGTGGTGGAATAATTAAAGATTGGTCATCCAGGTGTTTGTTTCAGAACCTGGTGGCAGTCATCTCAAATATTAAAAGTGGTGAGGACCTGGAAAGACATCAATTTGATACTGTGACAAGACTGCAAAATATGACACTGCACCAGGGAAAGCCTCAGAAGAGGCCTTCCTGTCTAGGAAGAAACCTGTTCAGTGACAGACCATAGCGATGGCGACGCTTCTGCCATGTTGGAAGTTTCCTGTTCATCTGATCTGCTAATTTACACAGACAAAGCATTGGGGGCACCTGGAAGATGAGCAGAGTCAGAACCACAGCTCAGGCCCATTCTGAGCAAGTCTGTCTTCATGCATTTGCTATGACAGTCACCAAGCCAACAGTGTGGCACCTGCAAATCCCTGTCAGTGAGGAAGATAATGGATCGTAGTTCTCAAAGACGGTTTTCCTGAAACCAAGTCAACTTAGTTGATATGTTTTATTTCACTGGTTAATATTTAGATGAAGAAAACCAACATTATACTTTACTGAACTGTGTGTAATTGTTCCATTTTTTGGGGTACCTGTTTGACTTACCATAGGTTGACATAATGAATTTACTGCACATTTTCCAAAAGGAACCAGCAGATTTCATCAGCATTGTACTGCCACTTTCCTTGAAGGAGGTAACTGTAGATGGAAAAACTTGGGCTATAAAGCTAAATGCTTTCTTAAATCAGACATTTTGATTAAGTAACTTGACTCAGAGTGTAGGTAGGGAGATATTGAAACATAAAATACAGCAAAAGAAATCTGAATATTCAAAATCTTTGTTTAGATCCTGAAAGTAACTAATAATAATCCGCAAGTAATGAAATACTGCTGTACTAGGTTCTTTTGCCATTTATTTTATTGTATAGTTCCGTATTGAATACATTTCCAATTACTTGATTTTTTTTTTTTCTTAAAAGATGAGCGGTAAGGGGGTCTTAACCCTTGACTTGGTGTTGTCAGCACCACACTCTCCTGTGTGAGCCACGGCCCAGCCCCTCAATTACTTGATTTTAATTTACATAACTTGAACCTATGCAGATATGGATATTTCTACTGTTTAATTCCCTGTGATAGAGAACTCTTAAAAATGTTTTTTGTGTTTTATAAAATCAAGCTTTACAATGCTGAGCAAAAAAAATAAAGCTGGAGGCATAACACTAACTGACTTTAAACTATACTACAAAGCTATAATAACCAAAACAGTATGGTACTGGCATAAAAACAGACACACTGATCAATGGAATAGAATAGAGAATCCAGAAATCAACCCACACACTTACTGCCATCTGATCTTTGACAAAGGCACCAAGCCTATTCACTGGGGTAGGGACTGCCTCTTCAGCAAATGGTGCTGGGATAACTGGATATCCATATGCAGGAGAATGAAACTAGACCCATTCCTCTCACCAGACACTAAGGTCAACATAAAATGAAG